TTAAAGTATAAAGGTTTCTCACCTTCCGTTTATAAAAAACGTTAAGGATTCTGTATGAAAAGTATTGATATATAATGTGCATAATTATTTCCAGAATGATTTAAATCAATCAAAGGTTATATCTTCGGCTTTCGATTAAATATTTTTAGGGGAAACCTGTTGATGAAAACAGAAAAGTCGACAAACTTTTACATTTTCTTTGAAAGCTTACGAAGAAAAATATTGTTATATATAAAAAATCTGAAGTATTTGATAAAAGATAGATTATTACAAAGAGGGGTGCGAAGTGCCCTGGAAGGCTAGTAGTTCCTATATACGTTTAGTGTAAATAATATTTTCTATTACAAAGTTTGAGATTAGGTAATTTTCTGTACACCATACTTTTCTTTGAAGAATTAAGTTTTCTACATTTCTGTAAAGAATTTAGTTCTAGGGGAGATGTATTGTTATATAGAGCCCTGGAAACTTACATACTAATCTATATATATAATTTGTATATGTGGAACCGATAAACGTAAAAACGGCTGAACCGATCGGGTCCACATTTTTTGTGGGACCTCACATGATCCCAGGAAAGGTTTATAGATCCTAGTAATTAAAAACGTTTGTCTCCAAATTTTTTTGATTTTTTGTAAAATATGGAAAATTCACGAAAAAATATTAAGTCATTGATTTTTTGTTATTGTTTTAGAAAGTTCTAAAATAAGATGCTTACAGATAGAGCCACAATAAATAGTTGAAATGGTAGATGGGGGCGAAGCGTCCAAAAAGCCTAGTCCATAAGAAATGTGATATCTTTATATTATATTATGAAAAATTTGATTAGAATTATTTATTCCTTTATAGATTACTTTTAAAATTGGATTTTTATAACATTTTTTATAAATGGGCTCAAAGCAAAACCTAAACAGGTCTCGTTCCGTTGTTCAAGCTTAATGAATTATTTCTTTGCAACAATCTCAAAGGAACTGAGTCTTTACCACAAACTCAAATTTTGTAATCTCTATATCCTTGCAACCTGATGGTGTAAATCTTTGATATTTCAAACTTGTATTATTCGATCCAATAGAATTAATATTTTGAAATATCTAAGGTATCAGAGATTGAGTTGCAAAGATATAGGGATTCGAAAATCAGAGTTTGTGGCAAAGACTCAATTCCTTTTACTATCCCTTTGGTGTAAATATTTAATATTTCAAACTAAGATTATTTGAACTCTTCGAACTAACAAGTTCATAGCTCGAAATATGAAACTTCTAGGACATCGGGTTGATTTGATCTAAAGACCTTTTAAATGTTACATACTATCTTTATATTTCATTTTCTTATTTTATTCTAATATAATAAATATTACTATATTCCTTCCCTTGAGGTTGATACTTTAGTATTCTCCTGATTCATATATTCAAAAGAAAAACACTGTTTACCATAAACCTAGAATAATTTTGAATATCTAAACAAATTCAATTGATCTATTTTTTCCCATTTCCTGTGCAGTATTTATAAATTTTGGAGATAGATATGGCTTCATAAACAGTAGATTTAAGTTTCAATCGAAACATCTAAATATTTAATAATCTGATGCAATAATTGTTCAAATGTTCCTTATCAATGTCAAGTGTTATTTTAACAAAATGTTATTCATACAAACTGTTACTGTTTATGGGTTTTCAGAATCTACGACCGTTAAAAGAAAATTTTATATTTTAGTTTTGAAAATTAAGCAAAAATTATTTTATCGTTTTTTTCTTTTTTCGTGCATTCTCCCTCTTCTCCCTATCTTCTTCCTCTCATTTAGATTAGATAATGAAATGAATCCGGATTTTCCTGTTTCTCGACTTTCTCAATTTTATTTACTACTTCCTGTTCGCTGTGGGGTCAGCGCGACAGCATGGCAGCTTAATGGATGCTTGACAGCTGTACTAATTGACATTTTTACTTGACAGATTCGCTGTTTGACAGCTGGTCTTCTTTAAGCATCTTTAAGCTTTCACTTTTTGACCTAGTTCTTCTTAAGGAATTGTTCCATTTTGCACACAAGTTTGCAACTTTTCAAAGATTTAACAGATTTAACAATATTAAATGATATAAGAACTAATTCCTATTTTTACAGATTTAACATATTAAATAATATATGAACTAATTCCTATTTTTACAGATTTAATATATTAAAGAATATATGAACTAATTACTATTTTTACAAATTTAACAATATATGAACTAATTCCTATGTTTACAGATTTAACAGATTTGACAATATATGAACTAATTCCTATTTTTACAGATTTAACAATATATGAACTATAGTTCCTATTTTTACAGATTTAACATATCAAACAATATATGAACTAATTCCTATTTTTACAGATTTAACAGATTTAATAATATATGAACTAGTTCAATTTTGTACAGATTTAACAGATTTAAAAATATATGAACTAGTTCCTATGTTTACAGATTTAACAGATTTAGCGATATCGAACTAATTCCAATTTTTGCAGATTTAACAATATATGAGCTAATTCCTATGTTTACAGATTTAACATATCAAACACTATGTTTTTTGAGAAAGTTAAAAATTAACTTATTATAAGTAATATACAGGGCTACCCACAAAGGATGAGACTTCAGGGACGATTCTACGGAATGAATACTCCTGTTTTCTTATATTCACGATTCCCTGCAACTGTAAACTTGTTTCTTTCTTAGCCAAATCATTAAATGAGCCATCAGATTACTATATTTAAGACAGAATACATAATTAAACCTTGAATCACATTTTAAGAGTACCCTGTCATCTTTACAGTCTAATTCTTTGAGGATAACCCTGTAGGTCTGTTTATTATGTAGTGTACACTGCATGTCTGCATAGTGAATGAACATTTCATGATGTTTGGACTAACAGCTGTCTTTCCATTTTTACAGTTTTGTGGGTCTCTCTGTATCAACAAAAACATGATTTTATTAAAGGTATACACAAAATGACAATCAAATTATCTTTTAAGTCATCGACCCCCCCCCCCTGTTAATAAATTGTCTTTTCTTAGAAAATACCCCTCCCCACGGACCTCGACTTTGTTCGATCCCCTACCTTCCTTACTTTTCCGGAAATTCAGAAAATTTAGAACATTTCAAAGCTTTAAATTTAAATATCCACAAGACAATCTTTTTTATATTCATATACAACAATTGTATGATAATGTTATTCCAGAAAAAAAGATTAATAACCAAAAAAATTATTTTGTCGGCCTTTTTATTTGAAGATTCGAAAATTTAAGATTTATAATAAATTAATTTTAAAAATATTCATCCACTGGCTCTGGCTCGGTGCTTCTAAAAGTACTCAGAGATACAGGGTGAGAGAGAGAAAATGGCAAACAAGAGAAACTTTAGCCAGGGGTGTATATCCCCCGTGTACACCCCTGCACACAAATGGAAAAGAAATAAACTACAGAAACATTGAACGCCTGCATTACACTTTTAACGCTGTATTAACCTATTTAGCTGGCAGGGGCGTAAATATGGATTCTGTAGGGAGAGGGGGGGGGTAATTTTTTTTAATGTAGCGCGCCGAAAAACTGAACACCATAGATTTTACTGAACCAGGGAGGGGGGGCTTAGCCCCTAACAGCCCCCCCCCCGGCTCCTTAAATACGCCTCTGCTGAACTGAAATTCAAAGGATGTTATCAAATTATTTACAATTTATAGAGGTGAAATGTAGAACTGCTTGAGAAGAGAATATTCTATGATTAAGGCGGAATTCTATCAAAACATTGAAACAAGAGGAGGAACCCAGGGCGTACACAGGAATTTGTCAAAGGGGGGGGAGGGAAGGGGCTTAGCACAGATATCCCCCCCCACCCCTTTATGTTTCCCTAGCAGGGGAGTAGACTAAACAGTTAATTTTTTTAAAATTCAATCTAAATGCATTATTATATCATTTTTAGCATTTGTTATGGATTTCTATTAAAACCATTGAATAAAATCGTTTTCAGTACAAAAAATATATATACACAAAAACTACATGTAAAACTACACAAGAGCAAATTGCGAATCATTTTTTTATGTTTTGTTGTTTACAAAATAGAATTAATATTAATTGAATTCATACAAATGTTTTTTCTAAAATCTCCCTTATAACAGAGTTGAAAGACAATATTTGTAAATTTATTAATATTCTTTTATTTGTCATGGACCCTCAGCTTTCGACCAGGAAAAAAATAAACATAATTCAAAGTATTTTAAAATAAAAAATAAAAAAAATAGTTTCCCTTTGATACTTGTATATGTTCAGTTTTCAGTGCAGTAATGACATTTTTCGGCTCAATTTTTTATTTTTCTGTTTTTTTAAATAGATTTTTACATCATAATACAAGCAAACGAATCATTGAGCTTAAAATAAGCATGTATGAGTCTACTTTTCTACTATCCGTTACAATTTTTCTTTTTTTCATAAGCAAACTTTTGTATTCTCGCTTAAAATACACATTTTAAAAAGACATTTTTGTGATTTTGATTTTGTAATTATCAAAAAACTCAAGAATACCCAAAAGTGAAACTGCATAATAAGTCCAGACCACATAATTTTATGCATTTTTTTGTATTTTTTATCAAAAATATTCTCATGCAACATTGTAATGTTATTAAATTCCAATTGAATTATTCCAATTTTTTTTCAAAGTTTGTGTCATGAAGGAAGGAAATAAATATTAAACTTGTGGCCTGTGTAACTCTACCCTTCAGTGGAGGGGGGGGGGGGGTCTCTTCTACTACAGTGTGACCCCTATAAAAATCTAAACCTGTTTAAGAAAAAAAAAAAAAAAATTGCATTGATTACAAGAATTCAGCTGAATTCTTTGTTGATGACTTTTTTCTGGTAACACCCTGTACCCCTTCCCTCCCTTCATACTTATATTGTAAGAGCACTCTGACCGGCCGGCTGCAAGTATATCAGCTGACGGAGTCAATCCTGGCGCAGGCAGGGACACGGGGGAAAGCTTAGATTATCAGTAGTTTAACTATACCAGGACCTACAGCATGTGAACAGAGAATAGGACGCGGCAGAAAATAAATTAGAAATGTCGTCGTTTTGCCGAATAACCGGGAAGGCGAAGGATATGCCGAAGCCGAATTTCTTCCCGATAATTCCTCCGATATCTCCAGCAGATGCAAGGTAGAGACAACAAAGGCTGCAAATATATTGCTCGAAGTTTAATTGCTAGAACCGCAGTTTCTAGAAAAACGAGTGTATTATTCTGTGTATTTGTAAACAATTAAAATAGTAGTGTGCACGATTTTAAAAAAGTAAGGCTTGGGTGGGGTGATAATTGATTAGATATGAGCGCCGATCCTAAAAACTAAAAACATTTAATGTATTGCACATGACATAAACCATTATTTAGTCTTATTTTTTAGAAACTTTCTTTCCAGCAATTATGTTTCTAGCAATTATATTTGCAGCCAAAATAAACAATTTATAGATTAAAATTGTTGGAAGTTGTCATTTTTCATATTTTCTGTTGTTCATGATTTGGTTTTAAGGTTCACTTTTCATATGTTCAATACTATTGCAAATATGTGCTGGCACTTACATAGTGGATGAAGTGACTGTGTTTATGTTTTATGTCCTAAAATATTTTGTGTTTGTTAGTTGTATAATTTTTGAGTTTATAGTTTGTTAATTCATACTGTTGCGTTTGTTCATTTGTATTTATGTTCATGTTTTCCTTTATATGTGCTAGTTTAGTAAATGCCCTACTACAATAATTCTTTTAGACCAGTACCAAATCCAGGTATAACCTTCTGAATCCTCAAGTATCTATTGTACAGACACAACTCAATCCCGAACGCCAGGTTCCTCAATAATACATTTGTCAATATCAAGCCGGATACAACTCTCTCTGTATTCTTGTATGTGTATCGTACAGATACACTTCAATCTCGAACTCATGGTTCCTCAGTAATACTTTAGTTAATATCAATCCGGATACAAATCTCTCTCTTTTCTTGTATCTGTCTTTCAAGATATATCAAGTTGTGCTGACTCTCAGTTATAATATTTGGTTTGTATCAATCCAGAAGACGCTGTATATATATTCTGAGGTATCTGTATTTCAAGATAAGCCTCAATGTAATACCTTAGTCTGTAATGAATCCAGATATACAACTCTCTGTATTTCCTAGCCTATGTCTATCTTTCAAGATATACCTCAGGTCCATCTCAGTTCGCTATACCAGGAATATGATTTCTCGAACACCGTAATCAAGCAGAGTATTATTCTAACTAATGAATATTTTGAGTCTTATGATACAGGTTAAATTAATTAACGTAATTATGCTAAATCGTAATATAAGTTGTACATTATTATTTATAGTGTAGTTTATCAATAAAGAGCATAGTTAGGTTACAGATAATGGACACCGTAATTATATATGCAATTATGTTAAGGTTTACAGATATAGGGTTTACTACGATATTTACTACACTAGCACTTTATGTCCTTGTTTTCCTTTATATGTGCTGGTACTTTTAAGTTCTTGTTTGTGTGTCTGAACAAGCTGTATTTTGAATTTTAAAAAAAACATTTTCTGAGCAAAATAGGTTTAATCAGATTTGTGATTTATCTGTTAAATATCTAAACATTTTTGAATAAAAATTGTGCGCAAAGGGTTTTCCTATTTTTTCTGCCAAGTACTATATACAGAATTTATTAGTTTTTGTTTCCTTTTTTAAACTTTCTAAGACTTAAGAAAAATTCAAAGTCTTACTAAGAAAAAAAAAACAATCTAAGTTATGCAATTTTTGTTTTTACTGAAATTTATACTAAAGTTTTTACGTAGACGAAAGATTGAATGAAACCTAAACGAACTATACTGATCGTATGATAAAGATTAGCGTTGATTCTTGAATACTGAAGATAAATATAAAACAAATAAAAATAAAAATTGTTAATATCCTTGAATTAACTTTATTTTTTATTGAAGATAAAAAATAATTTTGTTAAAAACTTTTCTTTGCTATTTTTAATATTCTTACTATTAACTGTGAACGGTCCTATTAATCTGTACATATATAATACAGGAAGCTGTGTAAGATAACAAGTAAGAGAATGGATGATCACAATTATGTTCCTCTTCTGGAGTTTGGAAGACGACCGGACTGTGTCAAGTGTATGGTAAAATTTCGCAGAATTTTGTTTTATTTCATTGGTGAATTTTTTAAATTTTGAGAATATGTTATTTTAATGTATTAATTTCAAATGTTATTGTTATGTATAAGGTCATTTATAAGAAAACATTTATATGTATAATGTATATATGCATTTCAGATTGATAATTGCATCGAAAAAATATATTTATATACAGGGTGTCCCAGAAAAAACTGTGCAGTAGGGGTATTAGTAACTGAGGAAACAATTTTCGTTCAATTTTTACGATCAAGGTGTCATTCGAAAGCTCTATATTTCAGTTATGCGAAATTTTTCTCATACTTTTTTTTTACAACCAATTATTTGAACGAAGTCGAAAATCGATTTCCCGGATATTTCAATTTTTCGATTTTTCACACCTCATTTTCATTCGTTCATAAAGTATGGAAAAATTTAAAGATTTTCGAATTTTTTTTTAATTGATAAGCTGTTAGTCTTAGGTTTCATTTTTAACTAAAATTCCGGTTTTTTAATGCATATTTTATATTTAGATTGCTTTAGCTCCAAATAGATAAACGCTGATCCGAAATTTTAGTTAAAAATGAAACCTAAGAGTAACAGCTTATGATTTAAAAAAAAATTCGAAATCTTTAAATTTTTTCATACTTTATGAACGAATGAAAGTGAGATGTGAAAAATCGAAAAATTGAAACATCCGGGAAATCGATTTTTGACTTCGTTCAAATAATTGTTTGTAACAAAAAAAGTATGATGCCTAGGAGGAAAAATTTTACATCATGAAATAACTGAAATATAGAGCTTTCGAATGACACCTTGATCGTAAAAATTGAACGAAATTTGTTTTCTCAGTTACTAATACCCCTACTGCATATATATTTATATATTATTGCTTTATATTTATATATATATAGGTTACTGGAGCTGGAAATGTGAAAAAGGAAATGCCTAAAGATGATGAGAGAACCCATTCCACCAGGGATATTTAATACAGAACCTTCAGTATCTTTTACAAATCTTGAGTTGCCTTACAGGAATTGAGTCTTTGTCACAAACTCAAATTTTCTAATCTTTGCATCCTGATGGTGTAAACCATTCTAATTTCATACTTAGATATTTGTTCTAACAGAATTCATAATTTGAAAAATCTAAGGTCTTCGACATTTGGTTTCAACGACACAGGTATTAGAAAATCGGAGTTTGTGGCAAAGCCCCAATTCCTTGCCCCATCCACTCCGCTAATTTATTCCGTGACACCCCCTACCCTCGTTTTTCCTGTTTACCCCCCCCCCACCCTCAGCCATAAAGTGCTTTCCCATACTTTTTGATTTTATTCTATCTAAAATTAAATATTCTTTGTGAAGGGATGATTACAAGTATGTTACACCAATACTCAAGAAAGAAGCAATTGACAAGGAAACCATTTGAATTCATCTTGATTATGATTTGTGCACTAAAATGGCAGTTTATCTTGATCTTTTGATCTTGATTGGTTCAAGGAAAATACACTAGGCCTAAAATTTAGTTGATAGCAGAAAGTATAGTTGAACCAAGTAGACTGAGTTAAACCACTTAAACATTAAGCGGCGCAAAAGAATTGGTTCAACTAAATCTCTCGCTGGACCTTCGATATGTCCAATATGTTCCAATATGCTGTATATTCTTGGTTTGATTTTAATCTAATCTATTTGGTATAGATTTTGATGCCGATCTCGCATGATATTGATCTGCATTTTGATTTGATCTGCATTTATTTTGATCTTATTTAGATTTTGATTTTGATCTTTATCTAGATATAGATCTTTCATCTAGATATTGATCTTTCATTTAGATATTGATCTTTCATCTAGATATTGATCTTTCATCTAGATATTGATCTTTCATCTAGGTATTATCTTTATTTAGATATTGAGCTTGATCTTTATCTAGTGTTCTTGAATTTAATATCAGAATGTTTAATGATGGTATAACTTCTCCAAATGGTCGTAGGAGTACTTAAGATCCTTCGAAGATCTTCAGAAACTGCTGAAAAGGCTGAAGAAGACAGTGAAGGATGAAGACCTGGAGAAAAACTATGTTTATCTTCTCCCATCAGTTCTTTGTGGACTAATAGTCCCCGCTGAGGTGGAAGAGGCCATCAGGAAAGATCTCAATAAGACATGAAAATCTTACATAATAAAAATCCCTTTTATTTCTCTTGTTAGATTAAAAAAGCATTTTTTTTCTCTAGAATTTTTCTTTCAGCTTTATCAAATTCAACTTCCACAATATTGTAACAAAAAATGTCATTTTTGAAACCTTTTTAGATTGGGAGAACTAGAGACAGTCAGCATCTCAAAGACCTGTAACAAAGCCATCTTTAAGATCAAGGGCAGACCCACCATGTTTATTCCTTTAAAAGAATCAGACATCTCTCAGGCAGATAGAAATAATTTGTTTAATGGAAAGGGACAAAATAAAGAAACCCTTGGCCGCCAGAAGAAGGTTCTGGAAGAGAAGAAGAAGAAGATGTTTGCTACAAGGAAGATATTTGAAGATCTGGAGAAAGCAGGAGATGAAGAAATGCTAAATGATCAGGATCGTCCCAAAGGCAAGGCTAGGATTTTTGGAGGTATATCGAAGGAAGCCAAACAATATAAACAGAAAATTCTGGACTTTATTGAAATGTACACTCCGGAAGGTAACATGGCTCTGTATGGGGATTGGAAATCAAGTCTCAAGATTGATTTGTCAAAATTTGATTGGGAGAAATCTTCTAGTGTGAAATCAATGGAACTTGAAGGTCCACTTCCCAAGCAGGCAAAACTCTCATCTCCAGATGACAACCAACTGACAGACCGGAAGCGAATTAAGAATATCTATGACCCAGGAATGCCTGGGATTGAAATAGTTCCCTCCGTAGAGGAAGTCAATATTTCTACAGCTAATATTCCAAAAGAACTAATAGAATTGATTAAAACATCCAAACTAGAATTAAGTGGAAGCAGTTCTAGTCTAAAATCTTTGTTTTCTGAAGAGGAATCTGTAAGAATTTTACCCAGCATGACAGAATTCCTGAAGGCAATAAGAAAGCTGGACTCTTCTATTTTCACCTACTCTAATGTGAGAGCAGGATATATTTATGAAGATGGAGACATGCTCAAATTTGCAACTGTAAAGAAGGAGATTCCAGCAGGTTCCAAAATAGTTTCGGGTATCATAGTCCGTCTTGAGGATGGACCTGTGTTCATTCCTGGAGAAAATATCAAGGTTGGGTCTGAAGAGAAGTTCATTCCAGGTCAAAGAATGAGCACTGTTAAAGGAGAGTTTATACCTGGAGCTAGTATTAGAACTAAAGAAAATAAATTTCAATTTCTACCTGGCGTAGTTTCTGAGGATGAGGTGGGTCTAGTTCTTGGTCAATTTATTGAATCTAATGGTAGCATCAATTTTATCAGAGGACAAGTTGTGCATTCATCTCGTGGAGCATTATACATAGAAGGACAAACCGTAAAAACAGCCGATGGATTAAAGTTTGTTGCCGGCCTTACAATTTACACTGAAATTGGGCCAAATTTCATATGTGGAGCTCTTATAGACATGGGAGAAGAAGCTAAATTCCTTCCAGGTCAAATGCTTGGAGAACCGGGAAAAGATATTACTTTCATTCCTGGTCAGATGGGAGAAATAATGGAGAAACAGGTGTTTGTTCCTGGGCAAACAGTCACACTACCAGATGGACAAAAAATATTCTTGCATGGTCAAATGGTTGACACAGCAGATGGCCCAATGTATTTAAATGGTGATGTGATTGTAAATACTAAGAATCAGGTACAATTCTTGCCAGGCCAACTTGTGCATAACTCAGAGCGTGACAAGTCAGAATTTATTCCCGGGATACTTGGGGAAACTCCTACTGGAACAGAATTTATTGAAGGCAAATTTTTAAAGAAAGGTGATACAGCACTGTTCATCCCTGGGAAAACATCTGTTTTTATTGATGGAGTATCTAATAGATTTGACAAGGTCACTGATAGTAAAAGCTTAAGCCTTCAAAAATCTCCGTCCTCTGCACTATTGATAGATCCTCATAATCTGTCTATGATCTTTAAGAAATACAGACCTTGTGGGGGATTAATGGTAAAAACAAAGGATGGGATGAGGTTCTATGCTGAAGGAAAAGTACCTGAAGGTCTTGAAGGTGCTGAAGTTGTTCAAGGACGTATGGAATATACAAAAGATGGGCCAAAGTTTGTTCCTGGAAAAGTTATGGAAATAAATGGTGTCAAAACATTTATTCCAGGTAAGCTAATGACTAATGAAGATGGAGAAGAAATATTTGTTCCTGGAAAAATGATTGAGACTAAAAATGGGCCAAAGTTTGTTCCAGGACAAGTTATTGAAACTGCTGAAGGAGAGAAATTCATCCCAGGGCAAGTTATGGATTCTCCAGATGGGCCCAAGTTTGTTCCTGGACAGATGATTGAAACCAAAAGTGGGTCAAAATTCATTCCAGGACAAGTTATTCATACAGACAATGGAATGAAGTTTGTTCCAGGTCAAATTGTTGAAACGGAACATGGAGCAGTGTTTGTTCCAGGTCAAGTTATAGATTCTCCAGATGGATGTAAGTTTGTTCCCGGACAAGTCATTGATACTCCTGAAGGACCAAGGCTTTTACCTCCTGATATTGATGGTGGTGATGGAGAGTTTTGTGTACAAGGGTTTGATATCAACCAGGAAGAAATGCAACTGCTCCTCGGCAATTCAAAGACTCCAATAAATGTTACAGATATTTTGAGTGGTGCTGGAGGATCAACTGTAGGGGGAGAAGCCCTAAAGGCTCTGGCTATGGGATTCAAGCCTCATAAATCTAAGGATGTTGTCACTATCTTTGGTGAGAGGGAAGAAGAGAAAAATGTTGAGAAAATCCTAGAGGATGAACTCTTGGACTGTTATGATACTCCCCCAGTTAGACAGATAATTAAATCTGTGTTTATTGCTGTGTTTGCAGAAATCTGTGAGAATGTTGATGAGGTAGTTAAAATGATGGATGATTACATCAATGGAAACTTAAGCAATAACATTCACAAGACAGTTATGTCAAGAATGAAACTGAACCCAGCTATTGAAGCATTAAAGAACTATTTCCAAGAAAACAATACAAATGATCCTAAAGAGTATGACATAATGAACCTTATTTCCGGCATAATCAGCTGCTCAATACCGGGAGCTCTGAAAGAGTGTTGTGAGAATGCAGAGGATGTAGAGGAGCGAAAACTCAAGGCAACTCTACTCTCTTGTATTGAAGACTCTATTAGAAATATTCTTCAGGAGGAGGGAATGGTCCCAAAAGGCCTTGTGGAGGACATCAAAGAACTTATACAGCTTGCAAAGGATCTTGAGTTTGTTGGCAATCAGTCATTCTTTGCCAAAGTAGCGGCTGTCTCAGAAGGACGATGTAACAGCAAGTTTATGAATACCTTACTGAAAAACTTTTCAGAAAAAGCAAACCTCCCCAACTTTGGGTTTGACATGAGTGAATTGCTAAACAGACTGATTCAGATCCTTGCTCCTAGGTTTCATTTGCAAAGAGCTTTTCACATAATGAGCATGAACAGGCCGGATATTATCAAAGATGTTCTCAACACTCTCAAAGGAGATGTCAAAGACATCGAGGGATTTTCAGCAATTGATATTCTTCACCATTCAATAGCAAAGGTTATGAACAAGTATTGTCAAGATGAAATAAACGAGGTAGTGAACATGATGGAACTGGATAGAAACTGTCTCGGCAAAGATAAAGGATTGGCTGCAATGATTGAGCAAGCTGTGGGTCTTGCTACATACATGAGACAGGATTCAACAGCTGCAGCTCTCTCCCAGCTGTTATGTGACCCAGACAAGCTTCGGGCAATTAAGGATGACCCAGTTGTTATAGATGTCCTGAAAAAGCTACTCTGTATGCGGAAGCTAGCAGAGAAAGACTCTGAGAAAAGGGATAAGATATCAAAATTGCAAAGATTTGGATCAGGGGACAGAAATGATGTTTTACTTCAGGAACTTTGGGATCAAACAGAAGCCCTCACAAAGCCTCCCAATGACAATAATAAACTTAAGAAATCCAAATCCATGGTAAAAAAATCCCGCTCCATGATCATGTCTGCCAAAGACATCCCAATGAATGCTTTCCTGGCCATGAAAACATCAGGAGGTGAGAGGAGTGAATCGTGGCTACAAAACTTCCTATCTGAGTCTGTTGTGGAAGATATTCCGTGGGAGTGCTCTAAAGCCCTGATTATCTTGAAGGAGGGGTTCCAAGCAATTATACCAAGGGAAGCATCAAGAAGCATTCTACTGGGTGAGGCCTCCTATACTCTTATAGATGATAATGGTATTGAATTCTTCTTGTCTCCTATGGATAAGAGAAAGAGAAGGTTGGAGGGAAAGGAGGAGGGTGGATCTACTGGAAGAATGGAGAAGTCTCCCATCAAAGAAGAGCCTAAAGTAAGATTTATTTTATACTCCAGTTTGGCCAATTTCGTACATTGAGTCTTACCACAAACTCTGATTTTCTAAACCCTGTATCTTTGCAACCCAATTTTATAGACCGTAGATATTTTCAACTATGAGTTCTATTAGATCAAAAGATCTAAGTTTAAACCATCGGGTTTCAAAGATATAGGGATTGGAAAGTTTGAATTTGTGGCAAGACTAGATTCCTTTTATAACAATTATAAATTTATGAAAAGAAGTCTTTTAAAAAGTTAAATTTTGGATCTCTTATGATGAGTTTAAAAGAGTGTTTTGTTGCATATTAAGATTAGATCGTGTTGGATGAACCAAATCTTTTATCTCTGGCTGAACTAATCTACTAAATTATGTAATCAAGGAATTGCTTACAAAGAGAAAGTTCTTCATTATGTCACGGGGGGGGGGTACACACAGATATCCCCCCCCCCCAAAAAAAAAATTAAAAATTATATTACATATGTAGATTGTAGGTAAACCTTTAATTCGTAATTTGAAAAAAAAATAATTCCATTCTTAAATAATTCATAATTTTATTCTTATATTAAATGTACAAGAAAGTCTGCAAGAAATCAGAAAACTTTCCTCATTCGATTTTTGTGTTACTAAACAACTTTGCATTTCCCCTTTCCCCGTGATGTTATATCTATAAATAACAATGATATACTTGAATACAGGTGACATGACTGTACAGTGCACACTGTACAGTTTATGTAAAAAAATAAAACTAAATTCATAATTTGATATATCTATGGTCCACGAAACTGGATTTTCAAGAAATAGACGATTAGAGTTTGAGGAAAGACTCAATTCATTTCATTATTTGATTTTTCAGAAAAGATAAAAAAGAATTGAATTATAAAATAAGGAATTATTTAACAACTTTTTATTTATTCAAATATTTCATGCAGACAGGTTATGTTACTGCCCATTTATGGTTTGCAAAAGTTAATTGAATTTAATTCAGACCTTACTTTAATATTTATAAAGTTTTAAGTTTAAGTTTAAACATTGGTCTTTTTTGTAAATTAAGCCATGAATAATAAATTTGGGGTAACACAGGTTGGGAACAGAGCAGGTTTTTTCTACATTAGAAATGGAACTACGGAAAGATAAACAGAGATATATGACATGAAGCTATTGGGAAGATAGGACAGGAAACTATGGAGAGGCATGAAACTATTGGGGAGATAGGATAGGAAACTAGAGAGAGACATGAAACTATTGGGGAGATAGGATAGGAAACTAGAGAGAGACATGAAACTATTGGGGAGATAGGATAGGAAACTAGAGGGAGAAAGGACATGAAACTAGGGGAAGATAAGACAAGAAAAGGGGAGAGATAGAACATGAAACTAGGGGGAAATAGGACAGGAAAAAGGGATGAAGAGGACAGAAAACTAGGGAGAGATAGGAAATAAAACCAGGAAGAGATAGAACATGAAACTAGGGGGAGATAGAACATGAAACTAGGGGGAGATAAGACAGGAAACTAGGGGGAGAAAGGGCAGGAAACTAGGGGGAGATATGACAGGAAACTAGGGAGAAATAGATTAAAAGAAAACTAGGGGGAGATAGGACATGAAACTAGGGAGAGATAGGACATGAAACTAGGGAGAGATAGGACACAAAATAAGTTGGAAATAGGACAGGAAACTAGTTAAAAATAGGACACGAAATAAGCAATAAAAACGACAGCAATGAGGAGAAAATAAGGTTTGGCACAAATCACAATACGGACATGTAGTGGGTTAAGCTGTAGATAGATGAGGGCGGGAGGAATCTCAGAAAAATAAAATTCGTCAAGAAAATTCCCCAATTTACAACGTTTCCCCAACATTTCCTTAGGCAATATTTCCCCCCCCCCTCTCACATGTTTCAAAATATTTACAAATAACATGCACAATATTTGGCAGAAAACAGACCGCGGGGTTTATGATAAGGAATATGCTAGATTTATATTCCCATCTCCAAGAAGTACATCTTCTGAAGTTAATATTAATTATATTTCATAATATAAACATCTTTGTAAAAAAAAATTTGTGTTTTGTGAAAATGCTAATTTAGGAAGAGAAAAATAATCTTAAAACATCTTAAAATAATTAGCAAAAAGCAATTAATGATAAATGCTTCAATATATTTACTCTCAAGTTTAAAAACAAACTACTTAGAAACTGCAATATCTTCATGCCTTTTATTTGTTTTATATGATGAGATGAAATCTCTCTTTTCTACGGATTAGATATATTATATAAAGATTATTGTAACATCAAGGAAACTTGTGTTTGTTATACTTTACGAAATTTCAACATTGTACAATTGTACAGTTGTAAACAGAAAACTGGGGCAACAATTGTCATCTTGATTTTTTAATGACAAAATTTCAATGAGTATTTTGAAATTTGTAATTCTCATAACAGATATTTTTTTAAAAGATTCATTTTAGACATAAATAAGTTCTCAATCCTGGATGATATTTAAAAAGAAAGAAGACTGTTTTCTGGTTACTACTGTGCACTATTTATTTATTAACCTATAGTGTAAATACTTTTATATGCTTGGACAGTATCGGCCCGTACGTAGGCGATAACTAGATTCGTTTTTTTGTATATATTTATTTTTAGGTTTTGGGATTTACCAAAGGCCCCACAAAACTCTAAGATGGGTTTTAAAACATTTCAAAGCTGTATTTTTATAGAAGTTTGCTGTTATGAAACTAAGTCCAAATGTTAAACCTTACAAAAATTATAAGGAAACCCAATAGAAACACGATCATTTCAAAACCAGCTTTTTGATCAAATTTTTGCATACTACATCTTTTCTCGTTGTTAAAATTGGACTTAGTGTAAGGAATCCAAATGTTTAGAAAAACCAAGTTTGAAATTTGTAACACTTCTCAATTCTGTGTTTTAAAAGTTCAAAATTCTTTAAAGTTTGTAAAAATATACCAAGCTATAATTAATGCTCATCAGTAGTTATGGGATATGGAATATGGATGGTTGTCATGCTAGATTTATTCATGCTAATAGGTTTCGGAACTTTCTAACACCACAATCAATGAGTTCTATATCTCATCCAAGAGTTAACTAATGACTAATTTATCTAGGTTAGACGTCCTGCTCACAACCCAATCATAGAAGAAGAGGAGGAGGAGGAGGAGGAGGAACAGTTTTCTCGTCCCAAACCTCAACCAAGAAGAGAGTATAAGCTCCCTGATATAAATGAGTTTGATAGACCAGAGAACTATAAACCTGATTTCTCCAGGTGGGATGAAGAGCAGGCGGGGAAGGGAAGAGGGAAGGATTTTGGAGAAGTATATGAGAAACCGAACTTTAAAACTTTCGAATGTAGCGATTATGATGAGGATTTTGATATTCCAAAGCCAAAAAAGACCAGCAATGGTCATTTTAAGGCTGATCCATCAAAAGCCTCTAATTACTCTAGTGAGCTAAACGATGATGGTTTGGATAAATTTGACCGTCCTCGACCTAAACTTTCCAGCCTTGATGCATTGGAGGCTGAAACTGAGTCCCTGGAGAAGTACAGACCTTGCAACTTTGAGTTTAATAAGCCTAAAGGGGATGACATCAATGACCTAATGGATTTTTACTCCAACTACAAAACCCAAAGGAACGCCCTAGGTCGGGTGCACGGTGCGCGCAGGAACCAGGAGTTTGAGGATGAAGAGCCAAGGAGGGGTAGGATGGATAACGAACAGGATTTGTATCCAAGGAAGAAGTTTTCCGATCCTGAGAGCTATACAGGCCAGGATTCGACCTACAGACAGAATATCCAGGAGCAAAGAAACAATGGAAACGGGTTTGATGAGTTCGACTCCATTGATCCAGCCACTAGGCTTATCCTAGAGAAGGCGAGGCATACAAGATCTAAACCAATCCAAGATTTTAGAAATCCATACGAAAACCAGGACCTAGATGAATTCGAGATGCTCCGTCCCCCGAAAGGTAAAATAATAAGTCTGATTATTTTAAATCTACAAGTATGTTATTTTTTTATTAAACACGATTTCTGAAACCTCTTTGTTTCCAAATCTTTTTTCTTCATATACTTTTGATTTTCATGATTAAGAATAATGGTATATATTAACTCTAAAGTATTTGAATTATTGTGAATCATTAACTAAGTCTTTACCACATTTCAAATTTTCTAATCTGGAAACCTTTGATATTTCAAATTTAGATAATTTGATCCAACAGAGCTCTTATTTTAAAACATTAAATGCAAGAAAATAGAGATATGAAAATCTAAGTTTTGGGAAGGACTCAATTTCTTTTATAACCTATTATTATTAATGTCTATAGGTCCTGAGAGGGATCCCAGGGATTCCACACTAAGTTCTGGAACCAGAAGTATGCTGGAGAAACTGAAAGAATCTACTCAGGTAAAGGATACAGGATGCTGGATGCTGGATACAGGAAACATGATACAGGATACAGGATACATGAGGCAGGATACATGATGTAGGCTACAGGATAAAATCTACAAGTTACAGTAAACAGGATACAAGTTGAAGTATACAGAATAAGGATAGAGGATGAGGTACAGAATACAAGATACGGTAAAGTTGACATTGGATACAGTACTGTAAAACAATTATAGGCAGGCGTCGGTGATCTGGTTGGTTAATTGCCTAATTGGTTCGTTGGTTAGGTTGGTTCGTTGGTTAGGTTTGTTCGTTGGTTAGGTTTGTTCGTTGGTTATGGCTCCTCAACTCGGACACAGTTATAGTCTCCAATAATCAGTAAATAGATATATTTCAAACCTGCAATAGAATTCAGGTATAATAAAATTAAATGACAATATTAAAAACATCAAATTATGATGTATTAATGTAGTTGAATATTTAATAGTTTAACTTACTAGTTTTCCGTGTTGGAGTAAAAAAAGGAGTGATTATAAAAATTTGAGGGTTTGATGGAATAGTTTAAAACATTTGTAAACACTTCTGAAAATATAAACTCGAACTTTTAAAGTGGAATTGCAAAGGATTGGAAAGTTATTTATGGATTTGATCTTTCACTTAGTAAAATATTTCACTTTTTCGATTTTCCTTTGACTGGGTAGAGAGGTAAAGTCGGAGAAATTGTTTGGTTTGGATTTTGGGCTGGAAAGGTAGGTTAGGAGATAGGTTTATGGTCAACAAGTACACAGACTATATATCTGTGATACATTTATTGATATTTATTGAGTAAAAATTGCATATTTTCTATAAATGACTTTATATTTAGGCTCTGCAAGGATTGGCGGAGGGAGCTGATGGATTCCTAATGGAGGAGAAGATGAAGGGGAAGCAGAGGAAGAAATCAAGGTTTCTTCGGCACAATCAGGACGAGGATGATCACCAGGAGGAGGACAGACATGCTGGAGAACTTGCTAACTCAATTCTTGGACTCAGGAACGACTCCATGGGAGAGTATGACAAGTACCGTCCTGAGCTCTCCAGGTATCCGGAACCAACAAGGTTTAGTAGAAGGAAGGATTTGGATGATGAACCTGCTCCAGCTTCTAGAAAGACCTTTGTAGATGATGATGACACAGATTTTATGATTAAAAACCTGAAGGAGAAGACCAGTCGACGACATATGTCGGATATTCTCGGAGACCTGGATTTTAGAGACGTAACTCCGCCAAAATTTGAACCCATTGCAAAGTTTAAGGATACATTTAAACCCAGTCCTAGTCCGGAGAGAAAATATGGTTCTCTGAATCGAAGATCCTCATTTGATCAACGAACCTCCTTAGCAGATTATAGAGACCCAAACCCAGATCCAGGGATGAACTATGCTCCCTTTGGAGCCAGTAGACAGACCAATGGAGGAGATTATCTCGGTATGGATGGACTAGGTGGAGGACTAGGTGGAGGACGAGGTGGAGGAGGAGGAGGTATAGGTAACTATGGAAGCTTAGGAAGGCCTAGAACTAATTACAACCAACAGTATGCCCAAGCTTCATTTGGGCAATCTCAACCATCCTACTCAGGATATTCTCAACCTTCTTACTCAGCACAGTCTCAACCTACCTTCCCTACACAAAGACAACCTTATGGATATGGCCAACAACAACAGCAGCAACAACAACAACCTGGATATACTCAACAACAGTTGTATGGAGCCCCGGCATACGGCAATGATATGTATGGAATGGGGGGTTATGGAGCTCAAAGTTATGGCCCTCCTCAACAACGGCCTACCGCTGATTATGGCCAAGATGGTTATGGAATGGGGGGTTATGGCCAACAACCACCAAGCAATTATGACCAGGGTTATGGACAAGTAGGGGGATATGGCCAGCAACAAGGAACCCAAAGAAGGCAAATGTATGGCGGGGGAGGCGGAGGGTATTAGTTTTATGGATTTAAGGAGGGAAGGGGAGGGGGGTTTTGATTGTTTAGTTTTGGAGGAGAAAAAGATGTAATAATAGGGATAGGGGTGTAAAAAGCTTCAATGGGGAGAAGAAAGCCATTTTTTGTAAATATTTAATTGTCTAATTGTTTAACTCAGAGGTTATTATCTAAATATTTTAACTGAACTGTTGTTTGTAAATAGAAAATGCAAGTTTGTAAAATTATCATTAAATGATTTTTGTTATGTTTTTATTTTGTGATAGAATAAACACATCAAATTTTGAATTATATTAAATAAATTCATAAATTAGCTGAAATCCAACTGAAAAAATGGTTTAATAAAGTAGGTATAAAAGAATCTTTTATTTAATAGTTTATATCACTTATTTTATTCTGTCGAAAAAAAAACATGAAATCATAAAAATATATAGATCGTTACGTTAAAAAGTTAAAAAACAAATTACGCTTTATTTGTAAACTATAGCTAAAATTTGTATTGTCTAAATGACTGATGTTCTTTAACTCATAGCTAAAGCAATATCATATGGATCATAATAGTATGCAATAGTTAAAAGCTTTTTAAATAAGGGCTACCCTCAGGTTTACCATTCACAGTGGGTATAAATTAAGAAAGGTGAACGCTGAAAGGTGGGAAAGAAAGTCTTTTATTTGATAGAGTTTGTTACTGCCAGAAATGATTGGGAAATTGAAATCAAACCAAACTACAACCTATAATTTGATTTATATCATGAATGGTCATGTATAACACATTTCCAATCTTTTTCTTATTTTCACCTTGTAAACTGATGTTTAAATTTTTCAGATGAAGTCTAAAAAGAAAATTAAAAATGCCCACGTGTTGTTGGAAATTGCTCCGTCTAATGAAAACGATGCAAACATCGCAAACACGAATGTTCCAAACAGTCGGAAAATGAAAGCCAAGGAAATGGTTCAAGAAGCAATAACTTTGGCGACAGAGAGCAAAAAACGGAAAAAGAAAAAGAATATCGAACCAGAGGAAGTGTTAAACGAGATTAAAAATGAAAATACAGCAGAACCTAAATCTACTTCTAAACAAAGAAGCAGCACTAGATTAAATGATGTACTCCCAAATCTTGTGTCATTGGACACTTCTCTTGGAAAATCTAAAAAGAAAAAACCAACTAAAGAAAATTCAGCCTCGGAACAAATTGAGATAGAACCGGTGAAAGTAAAGAGTAAAAAATCTAAGAAAATTATGGAAGAAACAGAGGATCATATTGATGACGCTGTTGATATCAGTGTTGAAGTCATAGACGAGCCTACCAAGAAAAGGAAAAAGAAGAAAAAAGACAAAAATAAATTATCACAGGACTCAGAGAACCAATTGGATACAATTGAAATAATTGAGGAAATAAATGTAGATAGTTCTAGCCAAAAGCTTGGTAAACAATCAAAGCGTAAGAAAAAGCTTAAAGAGGCAAATGTTGAAAACGAGATAGTGGTGGTTGATAGTCAAATTCCTAAAAAGGTTAAAAAGTCGAAGCGGCCGGAAAATTTTAGTGAAGATGTTCCAAATGAGGAAGAATCGGTTGAAATTGACGAACTCGTTGACTTAAACCTGGTTAAAAGATCAAAGCGTCAGAAAAAACTCAAAGAAGATCAAATAAGTAAAGAAGAAAATAAAAGTGAAGATATTGCAGAAGAATCCATCACTTCCATAAAGGAAAGGGCTGGACGACGGAAGAAATCGGAAGAGACATCTCCCCTCCTAATAAATAGCTCCAGCTTGAAAAAAACTAAAAGAAACAAAAATTCCGTTCAAGAAATTGTAGATGATCAACCAGAAAGGAAATCTAAGAAAAGTGATAAAATCAATTCTACTGTTAAAATAGATCCCGAAGTTTTATCAGGTGAGAGTTCCGGAGACGAAATAACTGTTTGTAAATCGAGATGCCAGAAAATACTGGATTCCAGTGATGAGAGTGAAATAGAGGAAAATGTCGAGAAACCTGAGATAAAGGAAGAAAAGGTTAAAATTTTATTGAATGAAATGTTTCTGCAAGCTACTCAGTTATTTTTTGAACTTCTTATAAGTAACATTACATTAGAATCCAGAATAATGTGGATTAGAATATTTTGATATAAAGATGTTAAAAAGATTATTGTTTTTAAGATAATTCTACTGAGAATTAGTTATATTGAAACAAGAGACTTTTACCATTTTTATTAATTATTAAATATTATTTAATCCTTTATGTATTATATAATTTTGTTAATCAGGTGAAAGTATCAACTCCCCGTCGGTTTAAACGTTGCCTGGATTCTTCTGATGAGGACTGCACTCCTAAATTAGAAAGGTTTAGTTAAAAAATTTAATTATATTCTGATCCACTTAGTAATAGAAAATTGACAAGATAATTTGAGTATTAAAAAATTGTTTTATTGTTAGAGTCAAAGTTACATGTGTCCAATTTTTTACTATAATTCAATTTATTTTTTTTCTATAAATTTTGGGTTAAATGGTTAAAGGTTTTTTATCTAGGTTAAAAAAGTTGAAGATGATGGCTTCCAAAGTGAGAGAGGTAGGCTAAATAGGACGGTTTGTAAGAAATAGAGATTTTTCAGCGAATACATAATTTACAGTTAATAGTCAATGTTTTGTCACGTGAGACTGTAAAAATTTGTATAACGATTTGAAAATTGAATTTCATTTGCCAAGATTAATCACTAATATGTCCTTGTTATAATTGTAAAATTTTATCATCAAAAATCTTGTGAAATGTTTTTCATGTGAATATATTTTGTTGTGTTTAGAAGAGAGGTCGAAGCCTCTGCTTCTTGGACGACGAGGCTGGGGACGAAGGATCGTCGGACGAAATTGACGAGGTTTATAGTGTTTTTAAACACTCCCCCCCCCCCCCTCCCAACTGCGAGAAATGCCTTTTTCGCTAAATTGGAGAAAATAGATTATTTGGTTGGGTAAATAAATTGATTTATTGTTAAAGAAGTAGAAAAACTAACAATTTGAAGTCGTATTTAAATTTTCTAAATAGACAGTAAACCCTGAATTTTTTTTTTTAATTTAAAATATTTACTCCAGAACATTATTTTTCATTGTTCATATATTCATCATAGTCCTCCTCTTAATTTCTTAATCTAGTTTTGTTATTTAGGATGATCTGCCCATGTTTGAACATGAAGAAGATCCACCCGACTCTGAAGGTCGAATATTCAACATTTATCACTTTATGCTTAAAAATAGTTGATTGATAGTGGGTTTAAGATATTTGAAATTTCTGGGTAGACGGATGGCGATTGGCGTGGGAGTTAAGTTCTGTTGCTGATAAATTTGTAAACCGTTTTTTCAGATGAACGTGATAAATTAAGAAACACAGAAGAGGTTGAAGAAGAGGAAGAAAGTGATCTCGGAGAAGAGGAGGAAGAAGAAGAAGAATGTTCAGATGAAGGTAGTTTATCATTAGTTTTGTTCTTTTATTTTACTCTCCTTTTCATGTTTTAGAACATTTTATTCCTCTAAAAGTTTTCAATATGAATATATGAATATATACTGACACAAATTAAGTTGACTGTTAAATTACTAGCATAAAACTTATCACTTGAACTTCTAAAATGTTAAACCAATTTTAAAAGTTCATTTTTGTACGAAAAAAATTGGTCATTTATTTGGAAACTTAACTGAAAAATCTAGATAATAAAAGCCAAACTTGTAATAAATTCCTGCAATTATAAAGAGGATGAAGAGGAAGAGGGTGAGACTGATGTAAGCGAGGATGAGGAGGATGGTGAGGAGTTTATCAACCCCTACTATGATGTGAGGGAGAAGGATGAGGACCTAATGCAAGTATTCTCCAATAGTATAAAGATGCTCTCCAAGAATACAGCAATAGATAAACAGAACACGGTAGGTCTCTTAGTTTTTATTCCATGTTGAAAACAATGCGGATCTTTCTACTTATAACTAGAAATGTATTAATATCTTTTGACAATTAACATGCTTGACAGCTTGTATCTTCTGATCTTTACCAATTTTTTTTCAACCCTGAATTTTGTCATTCTTAAACTCATGACTATGATTTTGGAATTTGGTTCTAAACAATTACTAAACCCAACCTTTTAAGATTTCCTGACATTTTTGATAGTTTAGAAAATCTTATTCGGAAAAAATCTATTGTTCAGAATGGTTAGGAAATAATTTATTAACATTTTAGAAGAGGTATAAGAAGGAGATAGGCAAGTATCAGCTTGCAGTCCAGTCAACTAGAAATAAAGCTGCACAGATGGATGAAAAGCTTAGATATAAAAGGTAGTTGATTATCACTTTGTCTAGACATCCGCAGGGTTGGAAAAACCCCGGGTTAAAAAAAATCAGCCTATTGGGTTTTATTGTTTTTAGGTTTTTTTGGGTTTTCAATTTGAAAATAAAAACCTACGAAAATTCATACGAATTCATAATAATAAGACTTTAAACAAAAGGTGAACTAGCAAGCAAAATAATAATGTCGCGAAAATATGCTATAATCAATTATATGTAAATACTTTTCAAATACAACAATATCACCTACCTTATTAATAGGGGGAATACTGCAATTTTTTGATATTATAGTTCTATAAATTTCAGACTAATTCTATTTTCTCACTTGGATACTTATTTATGAATGGGGGTGCCCTACTCAGATAAATCGGTAGATATTTATATGCTCAAGAAGGAAGACCACTGGTAAAATACCGAAAAACTTCAGCTCTGATGTAGTTCTGTGTATCTTCTTTAGTTTTTCATTATATTAGAAGCTTCATATAAAAAAACAAGCACTTCAGATGCAGATGATCGATTGATTCAAAAGTTTTCTACAATTGGATTTGTCTCGCCTAAAACCAGAAACCGTCTTGAAGTCCAGGTTGACAAGGTTGACTACTTTGATTCAATCAATATTTTTTAAATAACTCGATATTCGAACAATATTCATTTTTTAAGATCTTTGGTTTAAGTCTTAGGAAATAAATAAATTTGTCAGTTTTAGTGTTTTCAACTCCTAAAAAATCAATAAAGGACCTCACTAGTCTCCTGGAGTTTGTAATAACTCTTGTAATAATAGAGATAAATGGTGCTAACTTTGCACTTATATTCTTTTAATCCATAAGGGGCATAAAAAAATTTCAAATTTTTTTTTNCCCCCTGACTGTTGGCTTTTTAGCCCCTGAACGATACAGGGCTCCTCCTGCAAGCTGAATCTGTCCTTGTTAGGCTATTTTGTCATGGTCTAATATTCTGTCAGACCTAAAATCTTGAAAACAATAATGATACATCGGCAAAAAAATATTTATATATATAAATACCTGTTTTGGGCCAAATACCCCCCTTTCTACGCCCCTGATCAAGAAAAAAAAATTGAATTTTTTTTATGCCCCTTATGGATTAAAAGAATATAGGTGCAAAGTTAGCACCATTTATCTCTATTATTACAAGAGTTATTACAAACTCCAGGAGACTAGTGAGGTCCTTTGATAGTGACCTTATTTCTAGAAAACTTTATTATTATAAGAGCGAAGAAAAGGTAATAATCAGAAGAATTCTTAAAAAACCCAATAAACTCCAAAAAAGCCCACTTACAGATGTTGTTTTAAAGTGGGTTTTATAGAGTGTTTTTTTGGCTAGTTTTTTTATGCCAAGCCTGCATCTGCATCATTGTGGCTTTGACTTTTTGTTTCTTAGATTCTTCGGCGTCTTTTTACCCTTGACTCTTTTATACTTTTACGACTCTTACGACTCTTTGACCTTTATTACGCTTTGACTCTTTGGACTCTCTGGACTCTTGGGACTCTTGGGACTCTTTGGACTCTTGGGACTCTTGGGACTTAGTTTGATCTTTGACCAAGTTGTAATTTTCAGGAACATGAAGGTTGCGAGGTTTGACCGTGGTTTGAAGGATATGAGGAACCTGGATATAAAAGATGATGAATTCCATAATACTCAGGAATCCACACTTTTTATTGTTTAGAACTTTAGACATTCTATTGACAAAGTGAATTATAGCAGAATTAGACGTTTAGGCCGTTTCGCATTCCTTTCCTTTTAACAATTTTAGCTTTTAAGTTAAATGTTGCTCTGAAAGTCGCCAGTTTTAATCGTTTTTAAATTTTTTCTGTTTAAACTGGTGCAGTTCAAAAAATAATGAAAATCGACATTTTTTTTTAGGACAATGTGTTTATTTAAAAAAATTGGGTCCGATAGGTTTAGCCGTTTATTCGTTTCTTGAATATTTAATTTTCAGAAACTTTGACTTTAAAATCTGTGTATTTCTAGGAGGTGTCTTTATATGGACAACGAGTACAAATCTACCCACACTCAAAGGAAAACATCCTTGCCATACATTGTTTTTGATTGATAATGTACCACTAGGCGGGTACCTTAAATATACATTACATAGTGTTATGGTTATATACTATTATAAGAATAACTTATGTAACTGGTCAGTGGTCATAATTTAGGGGAGAAAAAAAATACAATAAATTTATTTATAAATATCACAGTATAGATTATGAATAGGTTCACGTATTTAAAACTTCTTCAGGTGCGGATATAAGTCTTCATCAGTGGTCCGTCCGGAAGGGGTTTTCTTCTTATCCAGATCGAAGAGGATCCTCCTTTATAGAGTGCTCAGGCTTGCATCTAAACCTGACCTCTTGTATCTCCTGTTCTGGAAATCGAACTGGGGAGTTTGCTATATAACCTTCTTTGTTTTACAAATTTGAGACGCGGCTCAAACATGGTTGGTTCCACTTGAAAATGTATTCAGTGTTTCGAGATTTGATCTGGCGCTCAATTAAAACTGGTTTTAGGCGGTTCAGCGACGCGGTCTAAATTATTTAAATTTGACCTCAGAATCAGTAATTAGCAAGACATGGTTGAACCACGCGTGACGTGGTTTAACCACTTCTATTTAAGGTTTAACTGGCGTTTAAGAGAACTGGTTGAACTGGCGTTGCATGGTTCAACTACCTCTCACTAGTCATCAAACAGCAGTCGCTGGTATTTATTTTTTAAACAAAGATGTTTTTGATGAATAGAAGCGGAGTAAGTTGCCTGGTAACTGTGAGCTTGAGGGATGCAGGAGAGTGTTCCAAGTCGATACATCCAAGATTGTCGGAGCAAAGATCTTTGATCCTTTCAACCTGGACTTCATGAAGAAGAAGAAGGCGTTTAACAAAGAGGCGTTCTACTGGATCTGCAGGGGGCACATGATTGAGGATGCAACCAGTGATTCTGATGAATATACTTCAGACGAATCATGAAATATTTATTTGTTAAAATGAATCAAATTATAAGTTAATTCTTATCCAATTAAATTCCAAATGGTTTCACATGATATGTTGTATACTGAAAATTACACGTTACGCTTTCATTAAAACCAATCCTTTGAAACTTTCTCAACAAATGAAATCCAAAAAAATATCTGTAAATGGCTGATGATTTAAGAATTATTAATTGTATTTTTTTAACAAGTTTATTTTGAAAATGAATTCCCATTTCCAGACTGAAAATGTCGGTGAACAAGCTGGTGTTGAAGGGAACGGGAAAGATGTCCCTTCACGAGAGGTTTACCCAGCTGAGTTCCCAGATAGTTAAACAGGAGATTAAACCTCAGCCTCAGTTTACCAGACAGAGCCAGATATCCAGACAGACTTCACACAGGTTCATTTACAAATCATTTAAAGCAACAAGTCGAAACATTTTTCAATATGAAAGCGCTGTTTTATGGGTTTTTAAGTCCGTCTATTTGTTGAAGGTTTATCTCTGTATTCAATGTAAAAGTTTACAATATTTCGGCAGGAAATTATTGCGCTCTTTAAAAATATTAAATTATTCTAGTAGAGCAATTTTTATCTTCTGCTATATGAAAAAGATTAAAATTAAGCAAAAGTTCATCTTTTTATGATATTAATTTTCGTCCTTAGAAAAAGTTATTTTTTTATTTTTCCGTCCACACTTTGAACAGATTTCTTTTTTTATTTGATTAGCTGATTTACTACTTGAATAGCTTATTGTTGGGTCGTTTGTTAATTAGTTGATTATTGATTAACTTGCTGATGTTTCAATTAATTAGTTTATTGTTTACGTACACTAATTGAATGATCGATTAAATGATAAGTTGATTTAATGAAAAAGTAAATTAATTGATTAATTTATTTGTTGATAAGTTGACTAATTAATTAATATTTAGTACGATGAGAAGCTACGAGTATTCTCCTTCTACTCCAAGGTCAAGGACACCAGACCAACCTAGATACGCTCCAAGGAGGTCAGAATTATATGATTAAAAAGCTGAGTTGACTAATTGAATCAGTGATGACTTTTTGAGTAGTTTGTTGGTTGATCAGGGTTGTAAATTTTCTCAAAAAAACCATTTTTTTTTTAGAATTTTGTTTGCTTAAATAGGAAAAATAAATGATTTTAGGGGATACTAATAAACAAATTCTTGGGAAAAAAGAATAAAAAAGGATGAATAAACTTGCCTGTTATGTCCAATTTGATTACCTCCCCCCCCATATCTGCAAAAATCATAACCCCTCGGGGGAGGGGGGGGGGGAGTTCTTGAAAATGTACATTATGGTTGACTTATTGATTTGTTGGTTGATTGAGTTTTGATTATTTTATTGAGTGAAGTTAATAGATCGAGTTTTTAATTAATTGATCAATTGATTGAATTCTGATAAATTCATTTAGCTTTGATTAATTGATTAAGTTTTGATTTTATTTGAGTTTTGATTAAATGATTAAGTTTTGATTAAGAAATTCATAGATTTAGTCTTGTTTATATCTTTATTGATAAATTGATTGATTGATAGATTGATAGATTCATAAATTCAGACTCTTATATCTTTATTGATGGTGACAGTCTAATATTTGTATTAGGCGAAGTGAAAGTCCTGTAGGACGGATGAGTAGACCTAGGAACCAACCCCTCAGATCTCCATACGGTTAGTCGGATCATAAGACCAAAATTAAAGATAAGTGTTCAGTAGTTAAACTACGTAAGCAAAGTTGAGCCACTTATGCACCGCACCGATTTAAGTAGAGATGGTTTAACCTAGTCGACGTAGTTCAACTACTTAATGCTATGCATTAATTAAATTCGGCAGTTCACATGTTTTAGGGGTATTTATATTCCAGAATTAACACCGTCCCCTGAGGGGTGAAGAGTAGAGGCCGAAAATGTTCTAAGATCCGCATGTTTTCCCTCGTTTTTATATTTATGTAAATATAAATTGTTTTTTTTTGTAAACCATAAATTTATTTTCTCACAGGTGTAAGTGTGCGGCCCTCCTCGACTGTATTAGCTGCCAACAGGATTAAGAAGAAATCTGTTTATCTGAGATTAGGAGTTCGTCCCACCATGTCTTCTGGGATACCAGTCTGGGCAGAACCTTACACTCCTAGACAGGTGAAGTAAGGGAACCTAACAAGTTTTAGGTCACGGGAAGAGACACTAGGAATCCCGCAACAGGATTTAATGAATTTGAGACGGTTCAACCACGTTTCTTGAATCTGGTATTCATGATTTATTTATGTCCTACGTTAGTAAACTTCACGTCAGCATTACAGATACGTAGTCGGATCTGTAATATGTAGTTCAGCGACAGAGCTCAAATTTAATAAATTCAGTCCTCAACCTGCAGAAGAACAGTGAAATCAGAATCCTCTTTCTTTAGTCTTTTAATTAAGAACATCAACTACGTTATTTATTCCATTTAAAAGAAATTTTAAAAATCGTCTTTGAAATAAAAACTAAATCAATTAAATAAATAATTATCTACCACAAGTGAAGAAAGTTCACTTTGAGTTTGAAATATGGGAAGTCTCTACAAGTCTGGTTGATTGATTGATGAAAATTAAATCTCGATTAAAACAGAAAACTTACAAAGTGGACTCTTGTCTATTTTTATTCTAATAATGTTTGTTGTTCAGCAGAATATGGGAGGAATGAGATCTGCTCAGAGCGGTTTATCTCGAAGTACAAGCATGAACTCCCTCTCACGGTGGAACAGTCAAACTTCACTTCATTCATTTGATACTCCAAGATACCAGACACCCAGGTACTCCTAGATACCAGACAGTAAGTTACTCCTAGATACTAGACACCCAGGTACTCCTAGATACCAGACACCAAGGTACTCCTAGATACCAGACACCAAGGTACTCCTAGATACTAGACACTAAGTTACTCCTAGATACTAGACACCCAGGTACTCCTAGATACCAGACACCCAGGTACTCCTAGATACCAGATACCCAGGTACTCCTAGATACTCAGGTACTCAGATATATACGAAGGTACTCCACCCAGTTAGTCATAGATACCAAGGTACTCCTAGATACCAAGGTACTCCTAGATACCAAGGTACTCCTTGATACCAAGGTACTCCTAGATACCAAGGTACTCCTAGATACCAAGGTACTCCTAGATACCAAGGTACTCCTAGATACCAAGGTACTCCTAGATACCAAGGTACAAGGTACTTCTAGATTCAAAGCAACCATATCAGACATAAAAATGTGTGTCCTAGCTTGTGTGAGAATTTAAATTAAAGTAAATAGTATTTTCAAAAATAAATTTTCAATACTTCCGTCTATTTAGTTCCGTTCCTTTTTCTTTTATTTTGTCTTTTGCTTTCCCATTTTTTTCACTTGTTTTTGTTATTCCATTTCCCACTTGGCGTCTTCTTCACTTTCTGCGGTAGTTTGTAAAAATATTTTTTTATTCAGACGATACGGCGGATATGGTGGCGGCGCATATGGTAGATTTAGAGGGGGAAGAAGACCTTTCAACAACTTTGGCCGGGACGGAAGAAGGAGATTTGGACGGGGACGCTTTGGCGGAGGAGGTGGGAACTGGGGTCGGGGCAGAGGTAGAGGCAGGCGTGGTGGTGGTGGCGGAAGAGGTCGTGGCCAGGGGCGGAAGCAGCCTCAACCAAGCCGTGAGGAGCTGGACAAGGAGTTAGATAGTTATATGGCGGGAACACGGGGACTCCTGGATCAGGAGATGGATAATTACATGGCAAATAAATAAATTATGTGTCTCATCTAGCAGATAGATAGATAGATAGATACACTCTCTCTCTCTGATGTAAATAAATCTGATATATATACTTGTGAATTTAAATAAAAGTGTTCTGTACACACCACACTACCTTACTTCGAGCTCACATTACAGAAAATAAAACCAGCATTTGACCGTTTCATTTTTTCTATAATTTCCAGAACTAAATATGAGTGAAGGAGGAGGCAGGGGCTCAAAGTGGAAGGGGGGTGGGGGCAGTGGACTCTTCGGGATGCCAACGCCTGGATCGGGATCCGTCTCACTCTTCGGGATGCCTGCTCCAGGATCCGGATCTGCAGGGTTGTTCGGGATGCCGCCTGCGGGATCCGGATCAAGTGGACTGTTCGGGATGCCGGCTCCTGGATCCGGATTCTTTTCAGCTGAATCCAAATCAACCGGCACTGGGTAAGTTATAGGGCGAGTGTGGGTGTTTCTTATTATTCAGTTGTTTTGTTATGAAATTAATAACTTACTGTAATATTTTAGTGCTGAGAAATCTACACATGTATTCGGTCAGAGCAGTGGAACTAGTCCATTCCAGGTGAATATTTGAATACTTAAAAGGGAATTTAATTGTTGTAAGATTTTCTACTCTGAAGACCTTTTCTAATCTTGTATAATAATTTGTAATTGTATTAGATTTTTTGGGAAATTTTAATATTGAGGGGATGATCACAGTAAAATCATATACATTAATCTCATTTTTTTTTTAAAAATCAATTTTTAGCTTTATTTTTGGTTTTAGTCTAAGATTAGCCTATTTGGGGTTGAAGGGAACCCTGGATCAAGTCAAGGGAACCCTGGTGGGTCTTCCCTGTTCAGTGCAAAACCGAGTTTTGGTTCTGATACCAACACACCAGCAGTATCCGGGTTCGGGACTGAAGCAGGTGGATCTGGATCCAGTTTCCAAACCCAACCCAGTGCATTGTTCGCCAAACCATTAACTGCTGGAGTTTCAAATGAATTCAAGCCCAGTTCATTTAGTGCTGTGGCTCAGGAGTCAGTTAATGTGTTCGGAGCGAAACTTAGCAGATCTGAAAATCTCTTTTCCAAACCCAAGGATTCGGAAAATCTCTTTTCCAAACCCAAGGATTCGGAAAACTTATTTTCGAAAACCAAGGATTCGAAAAACCTGTTTTCGAATACCAAGGACTCTGAAAACCTCTTCTCGAAACCTAGTGACTCCCTAGACCTCTTCTTAAAACCCAAGAACTCTGAGAACCTCTTCTCCCAACCCAAGGAGTCCCTGAACCTCTTCTCAAAACCTAAGGACTCCGAAACCCTATTTTCAAAACCTGTAAGCTCTGAGAAACTGTTTTCAAAACCCATTAGTTCAGAAAACCTCTTTTCAAAAGTCCCGGCGAGTAATTTTTTCGAGACCTTTGGTTCTCAAGATTCAGGAAGTTCTGGTTCAGTTTTCGGCGGGAAAACTTTCTCTAGCTCCGTCCCCAGGTAGGAAGTTAAAGCAAGTTAATAAAACAATTTTATTTTTTTAAACGTTTATTTTTCATATTTTCATTTTTAACAATATGAACAAAGTAAAATAGATAATGGTCGAAGCACTTTTAAATAACTAAAAATTAATTAATAATAAATTTAGTTGATTTTTCATTAATTTAGAACAATGTTTGAACCTCCAGATGTGACAAAGACTAGACCTCAAACGATCAATCAATACCAGGAATATCTATCTTTCGATTTATGACCAGGGTGGCTGGAACTTAGCTACCTGGCTGTGTGTATTAGCCTGAGTGTACGATTAAGACAGCTTACTGATATAGGATATTAAGATTTTATACATACAGTACAACATCAAATATGCAGTAAGCTTTCGTAATACAAGTGTATCGAGAGGTTTTGTATCTTAAATTTTACATAGTTTTCTAAGAACAATGAACAATGAAGTATTGCCAGAGTCGGCTTAAGGTAGGGGGGGGGGGGTGGACGCCCACCCCCTAGAAAATTAACATTCCATGGAAATCTTATTGCAATTGAATTTAGATTTTAAAAATAGAATAAAAATTTTGCTTGCCTGTGGCCCCACTGTATTACTCAAAATGAATATTTTTATAAAAATTTAAATCTTGGTATCACATATTCCCCCCGTCCGCCCCCAGCTGGTCATGGTTCTGACACAAAAAGGACCAAATTCCCTGTACAAATTTCCAGGGGGGATGGTTTTTTTCCCCATATCACTTCCTCTCTCCACCCGATATTTACATATTTAAAATGTGCCCCCCCCCCCTAAACTTTAAAATCCCCTCCCTTTCTTCCAGTTTAGTATTTTGTTTGCATTTTAGTGTTAAAGCTTCATAAAAATATTCTAATTTTTTGGATCACCCTGTGAGGCTGTGGTTTTCCTATGGTCTTAAAAATTACTGTCAAGGAAAATGAATTAAAATTATTGTTAAACATTTGAGGGTACCGTTCTTAATCTGACATTCCACTCTTATTCAATTATTCAACCACTCAAATCAATCAATCAATCAACATTCAGAATCTTCATCTATCTATTATGTTTCATTTATCAATCAACCATCTATTCATTCGTTATATCTATATAATAAAACAAGACATTCGTATATATTTAATATATATGTTGATTATAGCCGGCTAAACGGCTGGACTGATTGGGCTGAAATTTTTTCTGGACACTCAGTGGTGGCCGGGCAGTGTTAAAGGCTATAAAAAATTCGAAATGTTTAAAAAAAATTTTTTTTTTACATTTACCGGCAACGTCGGGCCCTTCAGCTAGTATTTTATATATTTATTTAATGTATTGCATCATTTAATTTTAAGTCGGCCCTGAAGAACCGAACATCAGCTTTTGAAAATTAAGAAGATTATCTTAAGTTCTTATTTTAAACTTCTGGTCAAATACAGGGGTGTATATTTTCTTGAAAAATAATTTTTTCCCCCAGAAGTTAAATATGCAACATTTTTTAGGGGTTATTCGCTGAATTGGGGGATTAAATTGTATCAAATCAAATCAAGTTTACACAGAATCCTCTAGAATAGATGATTTGAAGGAAGGAGATGAGGAGGGGTTGGATAGAGATGAGGATTATGAGGAGCAGGGAGAGTGGAATGAGGAAGAACAAGAGAATTTTGAGGAGGAGTTTGAGGAAGGTGAGGAAGGAGAAGACGGAGAGGATGGTGATGATGTTGGATCTGATCTTGATCCTGAGCCTGAACCTGAACCTCAACCCGAACCTCAACCTGAAACTAAACCAGCAGTACTACCTGCAAGGTAAAGAAAATTTTAATGGTTATGAAAATAATTTTAAAATGTGAAAATCTAGGAAAAAGTTGATAAGAAGCTTCAGTAAAGAGGAATTGCAAACAATTACTTCAATAATTTGCGAAGAAGTAAGTTGTTTATAAAGTTAGATACTTTTTTAAATATAAATATAAATATTTTCCTTTTTCAGGTCCCTGACGTGATAAATAACCAAATAACCATGACAAAACATTTTTCTAATTTTGGAACCGTTACCAGAGTGACGTCAAACCTCCGGCAAAAGACCGCCATTATTCACTTCAACGATCATAAATCCGCTAAACTCGCTAAGGAGAAAGGAAAAGTTGTAAGCAGCAAAGTTCCGCCAATTGGACATATTTTCTACAGTCAAATATCTCCAGGAAAGGGAAGAATTAGAAGAACAACTTCAAGATCAGAGGTTAGTTATTAGTAAAGGATAAAACGATAAAAATAATTAAAATAACATTTGTTAGATAAGTGATGATGCTGCGAGCGTGCGTGGAAGCACGAAAGCTCAGTTCAGTTCTCTTCCTTTGAAGAAGAAAACATTTAGTATAACTAAAGCTTTAACTTCTTCAGGGATTCTAGAATTCATTCAACTACAGGGGGCTCCTCAAAGGATGAAACTTAAGGGACGACTGTACGGAATTTTTTCAGTCTTTTTTCTTGCACTCTGAGTTCATTGTAGCTGGAAGTTTTTTGTAAGATTATTTGTATTACTATTAAAGGACTGTAGTCAAGACAAAAAACTGTAATAAATCTTCACATTGTCACTAAATAAACTGCACTAGGTTTATAGCAGAAAAGCTTTAAAGATGAGTTTTTTAAGATCGTATTAAAAGAAAATACGATTTGGAAGTTTCATTTTTTTTTGAAAGTTTCAATTTTTTTGGAGTTTTCAATTTTTTTAAAAGTTCCAACAATTTTTTGGAAGTTTCTATTTTTTTAAAAGTTCCAACAATTTTTTGGATTAACTTAATTTTTTTGAAGTTGTCATAATTCGTTTTAAACCGTTGGAAGGGACAAATCTTGTCAGATATTACACAATTGTGTCCAAACTCGGAAGCAAATGGATTAGCATTGAATATTTGAATGAATCGAATTTTCAAAGTAGAAGCTGAGAGTTCAGATGTAATAAAGAGGGGCTTAGGGGTTCCTGTTAGAAAAGCAGCCGGAGGAGATCTTGGAGTACCTGCTCCTAAGAGGAGAGCAGCTGGTGGAGATCTTGGTATTGCTGCTCCTATTAGAAGAGCAGTTGGTGGAGATCTTGGTGTAGCTGCTCCTATTAGGAGAGCAGCTGGAGGAGCAGAGCTAGGAGAGCTTTTAAATATCATGAAATCACAGGCTAATACAGATAGTGATAGGTAAAACCCAATAAGATATAAACTTAATATTTAATGAAGTACATTTTTATTTTTTTTCTTGACAGAAGAAACTGAATATTTCTTCCAAGGAATGAAATGAAGTACATTATTATTATTCTTCTTGACAGAGAAGAAACTGAATATTTCTTCCCAGGAATGAAATGAAGTACATTATTATTATTCTTCTTGACAAAGAAGAAACTGAATGTTTCTTCCAAGGAATGCAATGAAGTACATTATTATTATTCTCCTTGACAGAGAAGAAACTGAATATTTCTTCCAAGGAATGCAATGAAGTACATTATTATTATTCTCCTTGACAGAGAAGAAACTGAATATTTCTTCCAAGGAATGCAATGAAGTACATTATTATTATTCTCCTTGACAGAGAAGAAACTGAATATTTCTTCCAAGGAATGAAACACTTGCCTCATGTTTTGTATTTTATCCCTATACAATATAATCACATACAATATGACCCTTAAAACCCTAAAATAGGAAGATTGAAGTATTGATTTTCAAATTGAAATTACACTCCGATGAACATGAAACACAGTATTTGTTCAGTGAATATTGTATAGATCCATTTCATTGAAAGTTGATTTTCAACCTATTGGTAAACATCATGCTTAATAGCTTTCTACAGTTTTATGTGTTTCAATGTATTTGCATCCTGATGGTGTGTAAATCTTTTTGATTAAGCTGAATTGAAAGTTTTAATTTTCAAAAGTCTCTTTTTGATTAGTCTGAATTAAAAGTTTGAATTTTCAAAAGTCTACGACATCGGATGCAAAGATTTAAAAGAACTAACAGTCAATTAGTTATTAATTAGATTTTAAATAGTAATTATTGATTCTGTACCCGCTATGTTTTTTTGTCTACTAAATCCACATACCATAAATCACAGAATTAATAATTAGTTCTAAAACTTGGTGTTGATTATGATGATCATCCAAACCTGATATAGTAAATAAAGGAGTTGTTAGAGTCTCAGTTTTAGTAAATATATATCGGTTTGGGTTGACCTTATATCTCTAACGATATAATAACCATCAAAATCAAGAATATGTTAATTAAAATTGATTAATTTTCTTTAGATACACTGTGTTGGAAGCCAGAGACAAGTATATTAGATTAAAGAATCCTAAAAGTGTGACTAGGAGCGGTCTAGAAATCGGAGATATCAATCTCAAGGTAAAGTCAAGTACGATGATATTCATAATTCTTTACGGAGTCGAAATAATTGTGTGTAGTTTTAGTTTAACATATTATTTGAATTTTTGAGACACTACGGTCTGGCTCTTGGTATTTAAATGGACGTAATTTTAAGCGACCCTCCATTTAAAAGGAGTGGCAGGTCCGATTTACGATGTTTTCTTTAAAGCTTTGTCTGATCAATAATGAATGAGACATCCATGATTTCGTTTTAAAACAGTTGAAGCTTTTAAATTGTGATTTCTCTTTGAAAAGTGACCAATGGATTTCTTACAAGAGAAGCAATGCAGTTAATTGTTAGAAATAATTATTTTTCAAATTAAAACAACGACAGTATCATTCCCGTTAGGAATCAGATAGCGTTTTCAAGGGTACTGTAAACTGTTGGGAATCGGGCATGGCCCTTATTAAAATGGAAAGCCACTTGATATTACAACAAAATTCTCTGTGGATCAATTTTATGTTGATGTACAGCTATTATTCCACTGTTTTATGGGTCCCGCAGTATTATATGTCAAAAATATTTTTTTTTGAGGGGGGGGGGGGGTTGGGTTTTGCGATTTTATCCAAGGTCCGGATCAGAATAGAATGGGTCTTTATTTCCTAATGGACTTTTTAGTTCCTAATTATCCTAAGTTCCCATAGATCATAAGTTCCTATTGTTCCTAAGTTCCTATTGAAAATAAGTTCCTATTTATCCTAAGTTCCTATTGATCCTAAATTCCCATAGATCCTAAGTTCCTATTGTTCCTAAATTCCTATTGAACCTAAATTCCTATCGAAACTAAGTTCCTATTTATCCTTAGTTCCTATTGTTCCTAAATTCCTATTGAAACTAAGTTCTTATTGAAACTAAGTTCCTATTTATCCTTAGTTCCTATTGATCCTAAATTCCCATAGATCCTAAGTTCCTATTGTTCCTAAATTCCTATTGAACCTAAGTTCCTATTGATCCAAAGTTCCTATTGATTGTAGGGAACCTGTCCTGATTTTTGTCCTGAAAAAGAACGGTATAGCAGATCAGCAAAGAATCTACTTCGTTGGTTTGAGAAACTGGACGGAGCTCTTTATCATCCAGCAGCTATTAAGGTAATTTTAAACTTTCTATATATCTATCCATCTATCTATCTATCCATTCATCTATCCATCTATCTATCTATCTATCTATCTATCTATCTATCTATCTATCTATCTATCTATCTATCTTTCTATCTATCTATCTATCTATATCTGTCTAGGAACACTCTAGATCTGCTGCAGACCAGGATGTCCCCCTGTCGCATGAACTCCGTCCTTCTATCTATCTATCTATCTATCTATCTATCTATCTATCTATCTATCTATCTATCTATCTATCTATCTATCTATCTATCTATCTATCTATCTATCTATCTATCTATCTATCTATCTATCTATCTATCTATCTATCTATCTATCTATCTATCTATCTATCTATCTATCTATCTATCTATCTATCTATCTATCTATCTATCTATCTATCTATCTATCTATCTATCTATCTATCTATCTATCTATCTATCTATCTATCTATCTATCTATCTATCTATCTNCAGTTATTGGTGTATGATGGAAAATAATATTATTATAAATTTCAATCTGAGCATATACTTCGGAGCCCTTAAAATCTTAATCAAAAGTATTAAATAAAATTGGTCTTTTTATTTTTTTTTCAATGGTTAATAGCTTATTATTATTTCTTTTTCAAAGTAAACAAAGTGTATATTGGTCTGGCTTGAAAAAAATAATGTATAAGAAAAATATCTTTCTGCAACCAATATATATATTGCTCAAGTTACTCATAGTTATTCACGCCGTTCACCCGCGCTTGGTCTTAAATCATGATATTTGCTGAAGTGCCCGTCATAGCTTGTGGATTTTCAACAATTTTTTTAGCCTATGTCATCCCCGGGGTACCAATGGGTCCCCTTTGGTCAGCCGTTTAGCCAGCTATAGCTAGCCTAAAAATACAATACATATATAATTATATATGAGCAAAGAGTTTTATTTTATAGAATATATATATATCTTGTTTACTTTTAGTTATGTTGAAGAGACTGAGTTGCAAGGTTTTGAATATTTATACCCTGCAACCAATTCATTTAAAAATATTTAGGTAAAAAATATAATGAGCCTCTCCATACTTCTACATTTTGTTTTTAAATATATTTTTTTTCATTCTCAAAAGCTAGAATTCTGCTAAACCTTAAAATCTTATGAATAGAAATATTTGAGGAAGGGGTTGACGAGCCACCCCTAAATCCTAGTCCTTGGATTGTCCTGTGTAGAGATTAAACTAAATTTTTAGATATGGCTAAATTAGGGCATACAAGTAGGATAGACTAAAGTATTGCAATTATTACATCATGTTGGAATCCTTAAAGCCATGCGAATAATTTCAAATTTATTTAGGTAAAACATAAATCTCTTCTGCCTCCGTAATGGCTTCGCGATATAAAATATTTGTCAAATCTCTGTCAATCATTTTCCCCATGGAACCATCCGGAAAAATTCTATGGTTTTCACTTTAAGCAAAACAAAAGATTAAAGTTCTATAAACGCGGAAATATTTTCGGCATTCTATACCAGGAATGACTGAAAAAGGTCATTTTTTGAGGACATTTAACTCAAAAACTTTAATTCAATTGAAACTGGTCTTTTCGATTTATAAAAATTCAGTATTTCATTTATGCCCAAACGTAGCCCGAGTCTTAAAAAATAGTTTTTCTTGGACGATTAGACACTTAAAAAGAAAAATTTTGGAAGGACAAGAATTTCAAGGTGACGCAGACGAGAAAATGAGGAGAATGCGGCTCGGACAAGTACTTGTTGGGGCTGGCCTTCCTCCCCTCGGTTGACAATTTTCAAGCAAAAATAAAAGATATAAATTATAAAAGTATTACTATTTAATAATAGCGATATTAATACTTTTATTATCAGGAGAACTTCTCAATTGGAGATTGGTTTGAGTTTGTGTGGAGTACTACACGAGGAATCAGGAAGGATATTACACAACAGAATCTAGCGGATACAGGAACATTTATCAATTCTAATTCAGACATGGATATTTTTTTTTTTTTTTTGATCAGGGGGGTTGCGTGCGAAAGTCTTTCCCACTTGATTCTATTATTTCAAATGTTTACCATGGCTCTCATGTTCACAGCCATATTTTTTAAACTTCTTAACCAGAGATTCGAAAGAAGAAAAATGTGTAGCTTTTATGGAAAAGTTATTCAGGAATGGACACAAAATTGTAAATTGGAATTTTCAATGTTAACCAAAATCTTCTTGTAATATCGACCTTTTCGTCAGATTTAGTTTTGCTTGATCAAGATTATGTAAAAACTTTTTCTGTCAAAGATATTAATTTGATTGTGTGTGTGTGCAGTCAGTGTAAGTTTGGTTGAAAAGTGCGCACGCTTCCATATATTCTGCGCGGAGCGGCTTTGTGAGGAGGACGCGCATGATTTTGCGCCCAAACTGAACAACGAGAACCTGACTAAATGTCTTCAAAGTCTCAAGCATATGTATTACGATCTTAGGTAAACAAATGGGAGGGGTGTAAGAAATCAAGGGGTGGGGGTAGGAATTAAAGAGGGTTTGGAAACAAGGGGATGTTTCGAAAATTAGGGGGGGGGAGTGTAAGAAAAGAAATAGAACAATCCAGGAAAAGAGTAAAGTTAGACTTTTTCATATGGTCGAAATCCGCTTCCTCAGTTTATATTCGTCTTCGCAGTGGCTGAAGTTCAAATAAACACAAACATCCTTCCAGATCACCCCTTTAGTCTGCAAATCTAATTGAGCCAAATATATTAAAGATAATAAGATATTTATTGATTTAAAAATGTATATTTTTAGTTTGGAAAATGTTGAATGTGAGAGGGAGGTTGAGTTTAGAAGTTATGAGATACTTTTAAACCTTAACGAAGGAGATACACTCAGAGAAGTTCAAACCCTGGAGGAAAATGTTAGAAACCATCCAAGGTATTCAAAACAAAGTATTTTTAAAAGTTTTTTTCCAGAATACTTTTTGTTAGCAAATATATGGAGTTTTTGGTGTTTCTTTCATTCTATTAAATAAGTATTTTGTTTTTTATTTTGTAAATTTTATTTCTTATATTTTTTTTTCAGTGTTGTTCACGCTCTTAATATCTTCTATGCGCTCAACAGTAACAACTACGTCAGGTGAAAGAATTATTTAACATCTTGATTTTTCTTATGATTTAAACTAGAGAAGCGAGGAAATTATGTAAACAGTAGAGAAGAGTCTATGGTGTAATTCTTTCATATTTTTGTGTCGACTTAATTCGTCAGACTAAAAAGGGAAATTTTAGGCTAACAATGAAAACAATTTTAGAGAACAGTTACACAAACAATTGAAATGAAAATGGGAGAATTTTAAATATTAGGAAGTGAAGTGAAGCATGACATTTGAATGCATACAAAGACATTATTATGTTTTATTATTTTATAAATATTGGTTTTCAGATTTTTCCGTCTTGTAAAAGCAAGCACCTACTTGGAGATGTGTATACTGAAACGATATTTTTATCAGGTTATTATTTAAAAATTATTGTAAAATAAAACCGCAAACCAAAAACAAAGTTGGTATTTACTGATTTTTTGAGAATGAATACACATTTTTATATTTGATGTCTTGTATTCACTAAAGCACTTATTTTTCTCTAGGTTCGTGTGAAAGCTCTGGAGATCATGATAAAATCCTTCCTAGCTCCTAAACAGATACTCCACTATTCACTCCAGAAGATCGTAGACCTACTCCTCTTCGAATCAGCCTCCGAGTGTGCATCCTTCCTTCGCGCTCATGGAGTTGAATCCGAGGTTGATGACGATATCGTTTTCATGGAGAGACTGGCCTTCCACTTCCCGGAGACCCAGCCTCCGATGAAGAGATCCCAGAGGTTGATTGACTCCAAGAAGACATGCTCGTTCGGTGAAATCGTTAACGGAGCTCCGCTTCCTCAGAATCCTTATTTGACTTATACTCCACACTCCAGCTTCGATGCTCAGGGATATTTAAAACCTGAGTCCTACGAGGCTAAAGATCAGGTAATAAACACTCTTGGCCTTATTGTTTATACCAGTTTTTGATGAACGCATTTTACTTTTTAATGGTGTTGGGTTTTACCTATTTCTTTAAAAAGGAACACTTTCTTGATCTTTGTACAAATAATTTTTCTTTCAGAGGGGGGGTTTACCAATCAACAATATCTGTTGCATAAAGCATCTTACTCTCAAGGATTTAGGGTTTTACCAATCATTGTATTAAAGAGATTATTCAGTTAAGGAACTCACTATTCTCTGAACATAGCAGATAACTCCAACGTCAATTTTTCGCGGATTTTTCGTATGCAAGCTTTGTGTCATGGGGGGGGGGGGTAGTACTAGTCAATAAATGAGAGTGTAATCGGGCGTAGGATGGGAAAATTAGACACTCATTCATACGCATCCCGACAACTTTTTAAAATCTAGTTAAAAAGTATGAGTAATATTTAAATTTTTGTAAGACAATTTATCTCACTAGACTCTAACAAAAATGTTATTGAATTAGGTCGCCAAACAGTCTCCCGAGGAATTATCTCGTCTGAAGGCCGCCGAGGAAAGGAAAGTTCGTCTTCAATCCTACTCGACTCAGGTATCTAAATTTTTAAATATACTGAATGTATGAATTTAAAAATTATGAAATACACTTTCTACCAATCTTTAAAAATTTATATTTCGGTTGATTCGACTGATTTATTGAGGAACAAACTTGTAATTTTTCAATTCCAAATTTTTGGCACACAATTTTGTTTTAAATATCAAATTAATAATGATGTGTCATTAGTGGTAACACAGTTTATATAGTCTTATGTATGACATTGACCAGAGCTCTGAATTTTTGTAGGAGATATCGCTAATCCAATATCCATAATCAATATTCACAGCGAAACATTGTAATTTAAGTAAATCATTGATGTGATAAACAGCGGACTAGTATTTTTGTGATCTTTCATTGACCGAAAGCAGTATTTGGTTGCTTCTGATTGGTCAATGTTTTAAGTAGAATAAGTGTCGTTGATTAAATGATAATCCTCTAAACTTAATCGGTAGAACATTGGAAACAGATTAGTGCTTCTTAAGTAATTTATAATCCATAAATTCCGACTGTTATGTAAGCGTATACAACCGAGGTCGGAACTTTTGTGGTGCGTATCGTTAATCTTGAATGCTTGATCTTTATATCCAATGTGAGCACTTAAAAATGTTAGGATCAGTGCTTGATCTCTCTATTAAAGTTATCCCAGGTACGACAACTACGGGACATAAAGGGGATTAAATTAATCCGTAGTTCTGCAGGGGATTAATGATTAATCGATCCCAAGATCTGACTCCTGTTATGTTTGTCAGGTTGTAGAGGAAATCACTGACGAAGTGAGCAGTGCAGAGATTGTGAAGGTTGCACAATCTGTACTACGAGATATTCGCATTCAAGCTGAAGCTGACCTTGTCTACTCCAGGTAGGGGACAGGAGTCTAAATACAATCTAGACTTTAGTGTTGTCTGGAAAATTGTCTGGACCCTTTTTTCACAGTGCTTAGGATCAATTTAATTTTGTTGCGGATCCGGATCCGGAATAGGTCCAGAACATTTCTTGAAGATTTACGGATTTTTAAACAAACGAAAAAAAAATTTCGCTTATTTTTATCCTTAAACGTAATAAACCATTCAGAGAATTGGAAACTTTTATGAATCTCTTGTTAGTTTCTTGCTTATAAAGCAACATTTCTTATTAGGTTTTGATTGACATTTGTCCCTTGAATCCGGGTCCGTGGATCCGCTTACTTTTAAAAATTCAGGATCTAAGCCACACCAATCCAACATATCCAAATCCATAGCACTAATTTTTCGATCAGAAAATGTGGCTTTTAATATACCAACATTTTTGTCTTTGTTCCTCATTTTTTGGAGACAAGCCAACAAACTAGCCAAATATAAACATAGCGAATCAAAGTTTTGAGCACTGGATTTATGTTTTGTTTATAAAGTCTTTAAAAGTATGAATTTCTTGAAGTTTATCTAAGAAAATGTGAATAAATTGTTTTGTCTAGGCTAGAGACGGATACTGTGAAGGAAGAGATTGTGTCCATCTGTTTCGGGGAGATTAAAGAGTCCAAGAACAATCTCCTTCTCCAGAGGTTGGAGGAGGAGAAGGAAGAGGAGGATATATTAAACACTGCCACCGATATCATGCAGAACCTTATTCTAGAAAATATAGTCGAGGTTGCGGAGCAGTCCCTAGCAGAATCCGTTCAGGAACTTAAGAATGCAGAACAGAGACATCTAGCGGAGGAATTAAGAAATAAAATTGTAGAGGAGACTGTTAAGGATAGTTTACGGGTTATATCGTCTGCTGCGTTGGATGATTATAAACGCGAACTTGAGACAAAGATTCAGCTGCTTGAAAAGAGATTTAGAAACAAACTGTTGTCCAGATGCTTCAAGAGCTGGAGAGGATATTCGCTACGTGCAAAAAAGCAGAGGCAGGTCATCTCAGATTTTCCAGCAGCTCCGTCCTTGCTCAGCTCGTCAGAGCAGAATACCAGGCTGGCCGGATTCTCAGGTTCAGGGGTGTATATTATACATTTTTCAGGATGAATTTAATAGTTTGATAGAAAGATTACAATTGAACTTTCAGACCTTAATTTTTGATAAGCGTAAGATCAATAAGTTTTGCCATTATTTAGAAATCTAATTATCGATCAAAATTGTGTTAAATACCGGTCAATTATACGTCATTTGTTAGTTTTACATTTGCACTTTCTTCCTTTCATTATTCTCTTGTTCTTAGTTAACAAATATTATAATGTACCCGTGGTACATCAGGTTCCAAAAGAATATCAATATCTGAACGACAGAAAAACATGATGGAGTATACTGCTTTGTTAAAGGACGCGGAGCTAAAAGATTCGGTTCTTCAAAACCTGATCCTGGAACCTTTTAATATCCCGGAGATGCTCCAGGAAGCTCGGAGGAATAAGATCCAACGCTACTCCATCGGAGTCAAGATACTTCTTAGTTCCGACAATCTGAGTTCGGATTCCGAATACTATCCGTTGGAGCAGGTGATAAAACGGAAGTTCCGGAAGATGTTTCCTGTGGTGCCAGAGGATCCGGATATCCTAGTTCTAAGAACTGTTCCGTTTAATCTTGCCTCACTCTTTATATGCGTCAGGTTAAGATTTATTTTGAAAAATTTAGTATTTTTTTGCAAGACTCTTGTAATTTATTCTTGAAAACCTTCTTTGGATATTCATGAATAAAAAGTATTCTATTCGGTTTTGTCGCTGAAAATGGAAAGCCTAGTGTAAATTATTTAATTTAATTTATCAGATAATATAATTAACAATCTAACGTCTTTTTACTGACTTTGTCACTTTGCCACCGCAACTTGTCAAAAACAAANTTAATAAAAATAATTTTTGGGATGTCGATATCGGTTTTGACCAAGTTATTGTTTTACGAACACTTTTAATTGAATTAAATAATTTTTGTCTCTTTATTCAATTTATAGTATACAATAATTTTTTTTTTTACTTTCATTTATTTTTTTTATGTCTAGAAATATAACAGAGGAAAACCTGAAACAGTCCACCTTTTCTGAGTCCGACCGTAAGACGATATTCTCCGGAACTACTGGAGTTCTCTTTCTAGATCTAGACCCGGAGAATCCATCCGTGGACCGTCTCAGCTCCGTCCTTGTTAATCGTCCTAAGATCCCTCCTGTCCCAGTTCTAGTCCTAACACACTCCAGTCCGAAGCAGTTTATATCCAGCTCTCAGATCAATAAATTCAAAGGTATGATTATTCAATTAAAATTTTATTTTTAAAGATTGTAGAACTTATTACTCCTCTAAAGTAGTTTTGTCGTATATGCTTACTTATTAAAGGAAAATAAATCTAAAAGATCGTCTTCTTCTAACCCGATTATATTCCTATTAAATTTGC